GGATCTCCACTGAGCTCATTCATCCACCCATCAGGCCTTTACTCAATTTCGACCTCTTGTAAACATCGCCCTCCGGATTCATTGTTGACGTATCACGCATATTATGCATCCACTGGTCACTTGCTTATAGGTTCACTCCCCACTAGAACCCGAGTTTCATGAGCATAGGTGCTACATTTTTCGTACTCAGTGCCTATTCCTGCCTGAGGCTGGCGACAGCAAGGAAGCACAGCGCTTTGCTCAGGATGGTTGGGTCTTTCTCAATCTGTCTGAGGTTTCTGTCAGTGCCTTTGCTTTTCACCACCCCCGCTTTGATGAGATCTGGAGGAAGGCTGAGTGTGTGGTGCCTGCTCAGTGGTCAAGTTTCCATACCTGGATGACAACCATCCAAATACCCCCCAAGCAATTCTACCCTTTGGTCCCTTCTTCCTGTGTGGTGGGAACATTCCTCACACCACATTCTCCAATCCTGGCTTGCAATAAAACTTTGGCTCTGGATACATAGCTTTGAGAATGAATAAAACCCTTGATTTCAGGAAAAGAATTATTTAAAGTCCATATTTCTGTTTGTGAATGTCCTTTCCTAAACAAACCAAAAAGTAGTAGGGGTAGAATGAACAATTAAAAGACAATCATGACCAAGGTTTTCATTCTGTGATTATTTGACAATTCACATCATATCCAGCCAGAATTTAAAGTTGTAGAGTCTGGTGGAGTAGGAAAATTCCCTGACCTTAATGTTGTGCTCATTGACCAGTGTGATTTCTCTAGGGTTTTAAAAATTAATTTATTGCTTTAAAGTATTGATTAAGCACCTTACAGTGATCAAGGCACTGTGTAATATACACAAATTAATTAGATTTGGCTGCTACCCTCACAGATCATACAGCATAGATGGGTAATAGGCATATATATATAAATAATAAATGTAATAAATTATATAAGAAAAAATGAAGGGCTGTGGAAACTAAGAGGCTGTGGCCTGTTGGAGGGCACTGTGGAAGAGGCATCATTCGAACCCAACCTCGTAGCGTAGGCAGACTTAGTTACAGATCTACAAAGGTGGGGACGAGACAGCCAAAGCATGGATCTATACCAATCAATGAATAAACAAACATAGTTTATATATTAATTCAGCAACTGAAAGCATTAGGATTACTAGATAAAATACAAGATGTCCAATTAAATTTGAATTTCCAAAATAAACCCCAAAATTTCAAATAACAGTGAATGTTTTTATCAGTATACGTATATCCTCATATTGCATGGGACCTACCTATACTCAAAACAGTGTTTGTTTTATCTGAGAAATTCAAATTTAGCTGGGCACCAATATTTTTATTTGGTAGATTTGGCAACTCTAATATCGAGCAGGGCCTACATATCAGGACCTGTTCTAGGTATTGTTAATAGGAATTTGAATCAAAGGTAAACACTTGCCCATAGTTCACGGCTTGTTTGTTGGAGGATGTACCCGTAACCCTGTGGACTCAAGGTCCACTATGCTAAGGAAAATCAGACCCATGAAAGTTGTTATAGATGTTAATGTTATGATTGCATGTCAGTTTGGATGTGTTAATAATAAATTATTTGCTATTATTTATGTACATTTTTGTTGATTCTAAATAAGTTTTATTTCAATCTCTGACTGTGGGCTAAATCATATACATTCTAATTAAAAAAATTACATTTTACTTAGCAGGAAGATGATGTAGATGTACTTTTTCCTCCTGCTCCCACTAAGTACAAATAAATACCATGAGCAATAAAAAATATATATATATATATATATATATAATTGTGTTAAACCTGAAAAGACTCTGAAAGGTGAAGAGGAGAAGGTAGACCAGTTAGGGACACTGGGACATGAGGACAAACTTATTGGTGAGTTCCCTGGGAATCTTCCTTCCTTTTTTTCCTTTTCTTTTCTTCTTCCTTACCTTCCCTTCTCCCTTCCCTTCTCCCTTCCCTTCTCTTCTCTTTTCTTTCTTCTTTTTTTTTTTTTGGCCTCATATATCCTTTACTGGATAACGGAGAATCCAGCAACCTAGGAATATCAACTGGTGCAGACAACAAAAGTCACAACAAAAGCCTGCTCTCTCCAGTGAAAGGACCAGGAATGGGGAGCCCAGCAAGGCAAAACACATCTGGACGGCAGCTGCTCTACTCCAGCCAAACACCACACAACAGTATCTGTGGCCTCAAACATACCACTCTAGCAAAGAGGTTTCCACCCTGCCACGCTATAACGAGGTGGCCAAAATAAGTGTTCATGGATTGGAAGACTCAACAGAATAATTTTTTCTAATTTCAATTCCCTCAAATTGAGACACATTTTGAATGCAATTCATGTACATATCTCAGCAAGGCTTTTTGGAGATGCAGACCAGACCAATCTAAGCTGTGCAGGGGAAGACACAGGACCTAGAACAGGTAAAACATTCCTGAAAAAGAATAAAGTGGGAGGAATCAGTCTACACAATTTCAACACATTATATAACTACAGTAACTGAGGCGTGGTTACCGGAAGGGAAACAGGCACATATATCAAAGGGACAGGACATGGAATCCAGAAATAGTTGACAGGAGCGTGGTTAACTGATTTTTGACAGCGGTGCAAAAGCAATTCATAGCAGATTCAGAGGGAGAAAGAGAAAGTGTCTCATAAATGGTGCTGCGACAAGAGGACCTACACAAAAATTAAAACACCTTAACCTAAGTCTCACACCTTATACAAATCACAAATCACTTAAATATAAAAAAACAAAACAAAAGCTTTTCATTTTTAAATGAACAAATCACTCAAATATAAAAAACAAAACTACAAAACTTTTAGAATACAAGAGAAAATCCTCACCTTCTCCTCCCCACCCCACCCACCCTGACGCCATGGGAGGCCCCAGGCGCCTCAGTGGCTGTACTGGCTGCTTGCCAGGGACCCACGATGATGGCAGGGAAGCCCCCACTGAACAAGATGCCCCTTCATCTTGCTTGTCCTTAGCTAAGAGCTGAGAAAGACCAACAGGTCTTCCACAGGAGGGGCTCCAGATGAGCTGTTAGACCAGGATCCCTTCTGAGCTCCAGCTGGGAGAAAGAAGTCAGATCAGACCTTCATGCAGGGCCATCTCTTTGTAAAGTGTTAGCACCAAGCTGTGGCTTCCATTGGCATCCTTAGTGTGCTCTTCATGCTGTCTGCAGGGACAAGTCCATGGTCAGGCTGTGGTGGGCACAGACTGGACAGCAAGGTACCTCCCACCTCCTTTCCAGGGCCTTCTGAAAGTTAAACTATTTGTTATGGCCTGAATTGCTCCCCCACCAGATACCTATGTTGAAGCTCTACCCCAGTGTGATGGTGTTTGGAGATGGAGACGAGGGAGGCACGTTGGGTTTGGTGAGGTCATGAGGATGGCCATCCTGCTGGGATTAGTGCCCGTGTAAGAAGAGACATGGAGCTTACCCCTTCTCTCTTTCCCCGCTGTGTGAGCACACAGCAAGCAGGTGGCTTTCTATGAGCCAGAAAGAGGGCCCTCACCAGAAACTGGCCATGCTGGTGCCTTGATCTCAGGCTTCCAGCCTGTAGAGCTGTAATAAAATAATTTTATGTCATTTAAACCACTGAGTCTATGGTGTCTTGTTATGTAGCCCAAGCTGATTAAGACACTACTATAAGGTGACCTAAAGTCCAGCCATGGTGGTTGGGAGGCTGAGGGCACAGGAATAGAATATGGCTGTGATTTAGCAAACAGAGCCCTGACCAATGCTCTACCCCTTTTGGGAAGAGGCACTCAAAAGAAGGAGGCACAAGGAAACAGGCAAGTGTCAAAAGCAAGCACCTTGACAAAGCTGACTCCAGAAACCTCCCTGTGAAGCTTGTCCACTTGTCCCCAAGATCACTGCAGGGCTTCAAAGTGGCACAACTGACAGGAGCCTCTGAAGGCTACCTGAATTCCTGTGCTCTGACTTGCTGATGTTCCTGCATGTCCACATGGCATCTGTGATGTGGCTGTTCAGTCCGTCTGACAAGCTGCAGTCCCCACTGGAAGGGAGAGTGAGCTTTCCGGCTTTGCCATGCTGGCTGCTGAGAGCCTCGTTCATGAGCGTCAGCCCCTCAGAGACGGGGCCAGGCAGGGCTCCGAAGCCAGGCGCTGCGCCTCCACCTATGGACTGTGGGTCTTCCCCAAGGCCAGCAGCAGCCTCAGCGCCTTCAGACCTCCCCAGTCCTGTCTTTTCCTTCCTCTGCCTTCTCCCAGCGGCAACAGCCCCTCTTCCCCTTCCCCCTTCCCCCCTCCGGCTTTGCTTTTCTTTTCTTTCTTCTCTCTCTCTCTCTCTTTTCTTTTTTGTTGAGACAGAGTCTCGCTTTGTTGCCCAGGCTAGAGTGAGTGCCATGGCGTCAGCCTAGCTCACAGCAACCTCAATCTCCTGGGCTCAAGCAATCCTCCTGCCTCAGCCTCCCGAGTAGCTGGGACTACAGGCATGCGCCACCATGCCCGGCTAATTTTTAGTTGTCCAGCTAATTTCTTTCTATTTTTAGTAGAGACCGGATCTCGCTCCTGCTCAGGCTGGTTTCGAACTCCTGACCTCGAGCGATCCTCCTGCCTCGGCCTCCCAGAGTGCTGGGATTACAGGCGTGACCTACTGCGCCCCTGGGGAGGCCGTCCCTTTTCTTAACAAACATACAGCCTTTCTCCAACTCAAAATTAATTAATTAATTAAGGAACAAAGCAAAACTTAAAACGTCGTTCCCCCATCTGTTTCGGTCACCTGCTTTACTCAGGACACTGTGAACTTGACCCTGTCCCTGCGTCCTTCCCGAGGCCCTGGCCCCGCCGCCTGTGCTGTCCGGGCGGGCACTGCCGGGGCCGCCGCCCGCCAACCGCCCAGCAGGCGGGGCCGCGGCCGCTGACGGCATCCGCACCACGGCAACACCCGAAAAGAAATTTTCAAAATGTTAAGATGTCTGTTGGAAAACAGACGCAGCGCTCCCAGAGGATGAGGCTTACCGGCGGTGCGAGGCCGGCCCGCACGGCGCTGGGACTGGGGGCGCTGAGAAGCCGCCGGGACCCTCGGTTCTCGTCGGGAAACTGCCGCAGACGGACCGGAGAGGGGGAGGGCGGCGGAGCGAGCGCGCCAGCAGGCACGCGGGAGCGCGCGGGCAGGCGCGACGCCGACCGGGACCCCGCGCACTGAACCGCGCACACCACGCCTGTGCGCCTGCGCGAGGGCCCACGGCGAGCGCGCAGCCGCAGCCGCAGGCCGGCCGGGGCGTCGCCGCCACGGTTGGGATGTGGTCGTTTGTCACCGCCAAAGCTCATGCTGAAGTTGGGTCCCCGGTGTTGGAGGGGAGGCCTAAAGGGAGGGGTCGGGTCGTGGGGCCAGCTCCCTTAGGAGTAGGTTAACGTTCTTGGGGTGAGCGAGTCCTCACGCCTTGAGTTCCCGGGAGAGCTGGCCTGGGAAGAGCCTGGCCGCCTCGGGCCTGCTCCCGCCGCGTGACTGCACTCTCTGGCCGCTCGCCTCTGCCCTGCGTGCAAGCAGCCTGAGGCCTCACCAGACGCCCAGTCTCCACTTTTCCAGACATGAGAATTGTGAGCCAAATACACCTTTCTTTCTTTCTTTATAAACTGCCTGGCCTCAGGGATTCCTTTGTAACCACACAAAACAGACTGAGGCACTCTGCTGGAAGCCTCCTCCCTCTTTCAGAAGGTGACCACTTTCTCTCTTATGCTATTCATGTGCACATTTAAAACTCCATAGTCTTTGTACCGCTCATGCATTCCTAAAACTTGCATTTTAGTTTTCCCCTTCTTATACACTTTGTAATGATAACCTAAAATATGCATTTTTTCAGTCTATCTTTGCTCACTCAGTATTATTTTTGTTTTTCATATTCATCTGTGTTGTGGTGTTAGCTGTGGCTCATTGGTTTTCATAGTAGAATAGAATTTCATGGCATGAATATTCCCAACTATTTCCTATTTTTTTGTTGAACATTTGAATTGTTTCAAGTTGTTGGCTACTATGACTATCGTCTGTTGCTCTGATTTTGTTAAGACTGTTGATACACATGCTAAGTCACAGCATGTACACATATTCAAGTTCTTACTGCCACACAGACCAATGTCTTATAGAATCCAGGGACACAGGCTGGGCTGGTTCCCAGAGGAACAGAGACCTTTAAAAGATGTAAGAAAGTGACATAAATACTTGTGGAGCTGGAGATATAAATTCGTGTGGAAAACAGGAAATAAATGGGGGATCTTAAACTGCAAATGTTAGGCCCCACACACTGGCTCACACATGTAATCCTAACACTTTGGAAGGCCAAAAAGGAAGGATCGTTTGAGCTCAGGAATTTGAGACCAGCCTGAGCAAAGTGAGACCCTGTCTCTACAAAAAATAGAAAAATTAGACAGGTACTTGGTACTTAGGAGGCTAAGGCAAGAGGATCACTTGAGCCCAGGACCTTGAGGTTGCAGTGAGCTATGATGCCACTGCTTTCTAGTCAGGGTGACAGAGCGAGAACTTGTCTCAAAAAATAAGAAAAAGAAAAGAAAATTTTAACTAAAAGACTTGACAGAAAACAAAATATTTCTTCCAAGAATACCTAAATGTAATCCTTGATGCCAGATTGCCCCTCAGAGACCATGGTAATGATTTGTGCAGTATTATACTTGCAGAAAGGTCACGTTAGCCTTGTGTAATCATGGGTAGGCTGATTTCCACAACTAACTAGCCTTGGTTCACTGCTCAAGTTCATTTTATTGTGAAACTACAGGACATGGTCATATGTTTAAGAAAACTTTTGATAAGTACTGAGACAAGTATAATATTTTAGATTTGAAGTATTTTATAAATATTAAATATATTACATTTTTCATCTGCCTGTAGATTGAGACACTATTTAAATAAAAAATTGTCTAGAAGAGAAAATAAATCATGTGGATTTGGCAGGGCTGAAAATTTGAAACTCTTGATGCTTTGTATCCAGAGAATTACACTAGAGGCAAGCTAAACTGTGGCAGAACATTACACTGCTTACGTGTGGTTCCTAGACCATCGGCAAGTAAATAACACCACAAGAGAACGTTCTGGATTCAGTGAACAAGTTGCTTCCATAGCTTCTGGATATATTGAGAAAAAATACTAGCCTGTAAAATTAAAAGAAAATAACTGAGTGCTTCCTCAGTGTGTGATGTGGGAATGCATAACACAGTTTCTCTTCCAGGGGAATGTACTATACTACAGAAAAAGCCCTTCACAAATTGCTGCCTTGTTACACGGACACGGACAGAATGTCCACCTGGAATGGTGGGGACGCTGGGGCATCTGAGGCAACAGTCACCGTGGTCAGACTGGGTGGCCTTGGGCAAGTGACAATCTCTGTGATTTCCTGCCTTTCCCTTTTTTCATGAGACAGTGCCTTCCTTGCATGGCGGTGTGAACAGTGAGGAGTGTGTGGGGAATGGATCCCATTCCCAGGAACCTTGTAGGGACTCCATAACGGGTGTTTTCTTAGCATTTATCCAGCAAGTAATTCTTGAGCACCTACTATTTGCCAAGAACATTTCTTGGTGCAGGGAACAGTGGACACTGTGGGAGAAACCTCTCCTTCATGGAACTGCTATCGTAGTGTTTCTGAGGGGAAAGAGCAAATGCAGCCACAAGGACTTCAAGTGCATGGTATCGCAGGACATAGTAAGTGCTATGGACAGCAGGAAGGGGGCAGGGAGAGCTGCTGTCCCCTCCATGGGAGATTGTGGCAGCCTCAGACATGTGCCATTTGGATCCTCTATCGACAAATAAGCTGCCTTTCAGCTGTCAGGTGTGCAGCTGGCTGCAATGTTAGAGGCAAGGACCCCCAAAGACCCTCAACTCCCCTATGACTTTTCCTACGCAAGGGCTTCGCCCTGGAAAATTCCAGCTATAGCTCCGAAAAGAATGCATTCCGTGAAGTGCTGACCACGAAATGCTCCAGGGAGTGCTGACTGCAATTGTTCCCGACCACCTGCCAGGTTGGGGTTGAGTAATCAGTCACAAACAGCTTCGATACCGATAAGACGATAAGACGCTGATTGGGGCTGATTAACCCAAACCCAAGACTCATCGTCACCCCACTCTATTTTTCTGTTTCTACTTCCTTGTTTCTGTATGCTTATAAAACCTACTAAGAATCCAAGTAAAGTAGACCTTGACAACCCTTTGCTTGGTCTCGTTCCTTTCTCTCGCCCATCTCTTTCAGGCACGGTCCCCCTTGACCCCACGAGTAACAGAAGGTCCCTCGGGCCGGGACACTGCAACAGTGAGCTGAGGACACACTGTCGATAGGCAGCCTGGTGACAGCATGGCTGTGTCCTGGGGCCTGGGTATTTCCTCTCTGGGCAACCTTTGCTCTGGAGCTCACCACCGGGCTGGCCAGGACTCTGTCAGAGCCGCGCTGTGGCCTGAGGCTTTTCTCTGCCAGCCATCTTCCTCCCTCTCTCCTTGCACAGCTGCACAGCTGCTCACAGCCAGGGGCTCTCCACGCCTCTGCTGCTTCCTGCCCTTCACCAGTCACAAGTGCCTCTGTCTTGGGTCTGCTTCCTGGAAGATACACCTGACACAAATGGGCACCTGTGGGAGGAAGGCGGAGGGAGACGTCCCAGTGGAAGTGTACAGGGACAGTCCCTGCACTGCCGGTGAGGTACTGCCGGTGAGGTGTTCCCGGTAATCTGCGGAGAATCCAGCCCCACCCACACCTCTGACCCCAGCCCCTGCATCGGTGTGGGGCAGAGACTTGTCAGTGCTGACACTAGAAATTCATGGATAAGTATCCAGCTTTAGAGAGACAGTTGTTCCAACTGTATGACCTTATTTGAGTAAGTTATGTAATCCAGGAACTGAAAGTATCTCACCAACCCGACTCCCCCTTTCCACTGCAGCGAGTGTGGGAGGAGAGGGGAGTTTATCATGGCTCCCTCGGCACCTGCTGCCAGGAGTGAGCTGCAGCTTCACACCTGCTGTAGGCTGAGTGGTCACCAAACCATTTCTTTTTATTTAGAAAGGCTCACTGGTTATGAATACAGGGTGGCACACAGGGAGAGCAGTTTGGCTCCCTGGCAGCTGCAGTGGAACTCTGAAAGCAGCTCACATCACGAATGATTCTTTGAAGGCTGTCCTGCACTGGCGGGAGGCCGCGGGTAGATGGCACAGTGGGGAGGGAGCATGGAAGCTGTGCCGCCAGCTGTGCACGAGCCGGCTGGCCGTGGCAAAGCCAGTGCTTTGGAAAGGGCCCTTGGGAAGCTCTGGGGGGACACATGCTGCCTGTCATCTCCACCAGTCCTCCTCTACAGCTCCTCTCCACAGGTGTGTTCAGCACCCACACAGCTCACGACTTGCAGCTGCCGCTGAGACAGAAAGGCATTCTGGAGGAGCCACCTCGCATAGGTAACATTTGAGCCAGAACTCGAACCGTGCGGGACTGTCCAGGTGGTCAGCAATATCGTGAGGAACGAGAACAGCGTTTGCAACACATAATGGTAAGAGACCAAAGATGAGTCATTATATTTTCATTACGTAAGAAAATGTTCAGAATTGCTACTGGAACTGTAGGCAAGTGACAGATGGCAAAGTTCCTTTGCTACATACTTTATATGCTGAGCGAGCAGCCCCATTCTACAGACTACTGTTTTGGAAAATCCATGTCACATATCCCAAACTCCCTTCATGTGTGATAAGGACAACTGACGTCAGGGACAAAGTAATGAGTGGCTAGAGGAAGCAGCTACTGTCAGAGCATACTCTGGAAAGGGATAAGAAGTGTCTGTTCTCTCCACCTTCAATCACACAAAAGAAATTTTTCCATTGGCTTGGCAAGATACAAACTTAGTCAAGAGTCATTCCTTTTTGACTTTATTTTATTCCTATAAATGTTCCCTCAATTCCTTTAGCAGGGCCAACACTCATCGTTAGCTAACAACGTAGTGGATAAATCAGTGGTCCCTGAAGAAAAGAAAACAAACTCCTACAGTCAGGAAGTACCACTGAAAACAAAATACAGACATTGGGACCTCTCTTCAATTTTGCCCAGGGCCAGACTTGATCATTGTTTTTTATTCTGGGAATCATATCATTGAACTAAAAATAAAAATGTCTTGTATTTTTGTTATTTAGTTCCACACTGTGCCATTATCCTTAAGCC